CGCTTTCTGTTCTTATGTGTGCACGTATGAACAACCTTTTTGTCCTTTCCGCATTGGCATGTATTTTACTCTTTGGCTTTATCGGCATGAAAGATGATCTTTCCAAAATTTTAGGCAAAAGCAATACCGCAGGATTGACCCCACGTGCAAAACTTTTGTTTCAAATTGGTGCGGCTTTGATTATTGCATTTATTTTGTATACAGCCATTGATCTTGACACAACCTTTTTTGTCCCTTTTTACAAATATCCCCTTTTCGATATGAAACTCTTAGCCCTTGCTTTTTGGGTACTCGTCATGATCTCTGCAAGTAATGCAGTCAACCTCACCGATGGACTCGATGGACTGGCAACCGTTCCTTCCATCTTATCTATTTTATCACTGGCTGTGTTTGTGTATGTCGGTGGTAATGCTTTTTTAAGCAGCTATCTACTCCTTCCAAAAGTCGGGGGCAGTGGCGAGGTGGTGATTGTAGCAACCGCAGTCATGGGCTCACTTGTCGGCTTTTTATGGTTTAACTGTTATCCTGCGGAGATTTTCATGGGAGACAGTGGCAGTTTAAGCATTGGCGCGTTTATTGGGTACATGGCAATCATCTCTAAAAATGAGATTTTGCTACTTTTAATTGGATTTGTTTTTGTACTGGAAACCGTTTCGGTTATTTTACAAGTAGGCAGTTTTAAAACACGCAAAAAACGTATTTTCCTTATGGCGCCGATTCATCACCACTTTGAGGTGAAGGGTTGGCCAGAAAACAAGATTATCGTGAGGTTTTGGATTATAGCCCTCATGTCAAATCTTTTAGCACTTACAGCATTGAAGATCAGATGATAACACTTTTTGGACACGGAACAACAACAAAAGCGATTGCAAAACGCTACGGTGGCGAATGCCAAATCTTTGATGATCACTTTACATGTAAAAGTGAAGACGCCTTTGGCAATCTTCTCTTACCACCCTCAGACTTTGATCCAAAAACCAGTGATATAGAAATCCCAAGCCCTGGCTTTCCCTCCAATCATCCCCTCATAAAACAAGCCAAACACGTTACCAGCGAATATGACTTTTTTAAAGAGAGTATGCCTTTTTCGATTTGGATCAGTGGTACCAATGGTAAAACAACCACCACGCAGATGTGTCACTACCTCTTAGAAGAAAAAGGCGCTCTTGCAGGTGGCAACATCGGAACCCCTTTAGCGGAACTCAGTGAAACGGCACCGATTTGGATTTTAGAAACCAGCTCATTTACCTTTCACTACACCAAAATGGCGACACCCGATATTTATCTTTTGCTTCCTATTAAACCCGATCATTTAACATGGCATGGCACGATGGAAGCGTACATCGAAGCAAAGCTTTCTCCTTTAAAACGTATGAAAGAAGGCAGTGTTGCCATTCTTCCCAAAGCGTTTGCACAGGCTCCAACACTAGCGCATGTGGTTTCTTATGAAAATGAATACGATTTAGCAGAGCAAATGAACATCGACATTACCAAAGTGAATTTTAAATCACCCTTCTTACTCGATGCCCTTTTGGCAATGAGTGCGCAAAAAATTCTTTTAGATACTGTTTCGTATGACCGCATCAATAGCTTTACCATCGATCATTATAAAATTGAAGAGTTCCACGATAAACAAGGTCGTCTTTGGGTTGATGACTCAAAAGGAACCAATGTGGATGCAACCATAGAAGCGCTAAAACGCTATCAAAAGGAAGAAATTTTATTGGTCTTAGGAGGCGATGATAAAGGTGTCGATCTTCAAGAACTCTTTGACTTTATGAAATCGTTACATGTAACTGTTTTTGCCATCGGTTCCAACACCGAAAGACTTGCATCATTTGCAACCAAAGAAGGCATTGCATTGCATCAATGCTACGTTTTAGAAGAAGCCATGAAACAGATCCATACCGTCCATACAACACGCTCTATTGCCCTACTTTCACCTGCTGCGGCAAGTTTAGATCAGTTCAAATCGTACGCTCACAGAGGCGATCGATTTAAAGAATTGGCATTGGCTGAGACATAAGCTAATATTAAAGTTGTTTCTGTATAATTTCAGCTCTTCAAAAGTGTGGCTGGATAGCTCAGTCGGTAGAGCAGGAGACTGAAAATCTCCGTGTCGGCGGTTCGATTCCGTCTCCAGCCACCACTTCTTTTAAAACTCCCCTATTTTCATTTTGATTCTTTTTTCTAACGAATGTTCAACATTGTGTATCAATGCATCCTCCTCCTAAACTATTTGACATCCTAACAATAACACTTAGCCATAAGATGCTTTACATGTAACACTTTTTGAGTCTCTTTTGTTTCTTTATGACGATAAAAATTTAACTTACTACGCTATCACTCTAATTCTATTAAAACATATCAAACCTCTTCAATAGCCTACTTTATGATCTATAGTTTATCTCACTATGTCATTAAATAGTTACGGTTACTTCAAAAATGACTTATTAATTCTAAAGTTTTTCTGCACTACAATGCGTGCAGATTTTCGTGGAAAATACCCAATTTCAAAGGAACCTTTATGAAAAAAATACTTGCGTTCGTAGCTGTTGTGGCACTTTTTTTTAGCGCATGCCAAAAAAAAGATGATACCTCTTCTCAAACCATTTCCGTTAACGGTGTTTCACTCTCTTCCCCAATGATCATCGATAAAGAACATCAATCCATTACTATCCTTGCAATACTTAATGGTAAAT